TGCAAAGACATGAGCATATGTTTTTGCCAATAGGTCTGTGGAACTCAGAGTAGGTTGGAACCTATGAAGTCACTCAACTGATTCATTGTAATCCACACAGGTGTGTTTTTATTGTTTATATCTTGGGTTTTAATTTTTTTTAAGTAGCTCAGAGACCCTGACTGTCAACACTACAAATGAATTTGACTGCAGCCATTTTAATCTCGTTTTTTGGTTGCCACAGAAATGGGAAGAGGTATTTTTTTGTCTAGCTAAAACATACAATTGTTCTGTGGGAACCAAGGTCATTGCTACCAGAGTTTTAGCGGGTAGAAGTTTCTGCTAGAAAGCCCGCCAAACTAGTGCATTGGGGAATGTGATTTGTGACATAGAAATGGGGTGGGAAGTTCATCTTTGTAACTTTGTAACTTTGGGGGAAGGGAACTTTAGTCTTGGTTTCACCTTTGTTCATGCTGATACTATGTAGCCATTAAAAATGCTCTTTGAGGAAAGAAATTGTCTTGGAGTCCTTTTTTCTATTGGGCTCATCTATCAGAACCATGACATTGACAGTGAGTGGGAGGCCATAAAAATTCTGTGAAATGAATAAATAAATAAATAAAACTCCATACAATGCTGTTTCATAAGGTTTTATTCAAGGATGTTCCTTAAATTTCAATTTATATGTAGCGGAGCTGGGGTGAGAGTGGGGCCAGCTGAGAGGTTTTGCGGGAACTCCGGCAACTGCTGTGGGTCTGGTGGCAGGGTGTGGCTCTGAGGAGGGAAGAAAAGGGAGGAGGAAGCCGATGGGAGAGGAGAGAGAAAGAGACTGGAAGGTGGTGTTTGGCTGCATGTTGAACAGAGCCAGCTGAGTGAGAAGAGAGAAAGCGACTAGTAGGTGATGTTTGGCTGGACATCGAGAAGAGCCAGCTGAGGAAGAGAGAGAGAGTAGCTTAATGGAGCCTGCCGTCCAGAGCCAGCTGAGTGAAGAAATAGAGATAGAGTAAGAAGGTGGAGTCTTTGTGTTTTTCTGCTTTGTTGTAAGCAAGCCGGACAAAGAGGGGGGATAGAGAGCGAGAGTAGCTTCCTGAAGTTTTTATTGTTTTTTTTTCATTGCGGCAGGCCAGACAAAGAGAGGGTAGGTTGGAGAGTTTTATTTCTTTTCCCTTGTTGGAGCCAGCTGGGCGGAGGGAGAGTCAGGAAAGAGTTTGACCGGGTTGAGGGTATGTCTTTTAGTGGGAAGTAGAGGAGTTTTTATAGGATCAGCTTGTGGAAACAAAAAGGGGATAAGGAAGCGATGGGGGATTACATATAGTGAGGGCAGAGAGAGACAAGGAAAGTGGATCAAGGTGGTCCCCTGTGAGCTCCAGAGAGGGACTGATTACCATATCTTAGGTAAGTTGCTGTCACCAGATACTGACTACCATTGCTCTAGGCAAGTCGCTGTTACCAGAGACTGACTACCATCACTCTAGGCAAGTTGCTGTTACCAGATACTGACTAACATTGTCTTAGGAAAGCTGCTGTCACCAGAGACTGACAACCATTGGCTTAGGCACGTTTCTGTCACTAGAGACTTGCTACCATCGTCATAGGCAAGCTCCTACTATCAGAGACTGGCTAACATCGTCCTAAGCAGGTTTGCTGTTCCTAGGGACTGACTACTACTGTTGTACACCAGCTGCTGTTACCAGGACCAGGACTGACTACCATCGTCTCCTGTAAGTCTTACTGCCTGAGGTCAACTATCATCATCCCACATGAGTTACCATCAAAAGAAATCAACCATCACCACCCCATGGGTGTGTCTGCGAACTGTGACTGAACATCACCATGCTACATGCCCTGTCAGGCAGAGCTGCCAATGTGAGAGACCGCTTTGGTCAGTAGCCAGCCGAAAAGGGGGCCAAGAGGGCCAAGACTTTTGTGGTCCCTCCGGGGGTGGTGCTACATATAAAACTGGTAAAGTATGTGGGACATCATGCCATCAATGATGAGAACAGGGGAAGTATCACTTGCAGAGTAGTCCAGAATAACGAGTTTCTATCTCAATTAGGGTTGCATATTCACTATAATTTGGGCCACATGCCCTGTCCATAGGGTCTGTCTGTCTGTCTGTCTGTCTGTCTGT